GCAGTGCTGCTGTAAAACATTCCAGGTTCAATCCTTGTCATCTCCAGTCTCAAGTAGCAGGTGGCAGTAAATATCCTACTCTGCCTGAGATACTGAGAGCTTCTAGCAGTAAGAATAGACAATACTGAACTAACATGTTCATGTGTTTCAACCACAAAAATTACATTAATAAACACTTTGTTGAGCACAGAAAAATCTCATATTTGGCATGCAAGAATCACACTGACTTCAGTAGAAGGTGATACACACATAAGTGGCAGAATTAAATATTTTTAGCATTTCCCTTTAAAATGAAAGAAGAAAGAAGAAAGCTTTTTAAAGACAAGGACAGTAGTGTACCTGCTCCTGTTGTAGAAGAATAATCTGATCGGAGCCCAGCTATATTGGAGAAGAAAGAGAAATGAACCTACCCATATTTTAACAAACTTTCTAATAAATTACTTCAGCAGTCACCATGTGAATGTAGCATTTTACTGTTTATTGATTCAGAAAAGGAAAAGAATTGAGTCACATGACAATATTACATGGAAATTCATGAAGCGTATCTAAAGTGATTTTTAATGGATTTTGAGCATACTGTGATTCTTGTGATTCTCTGCATTTCAGACATCTTTTTTTTAAATAGTCAAGTGGTGCGAGTCATAGTCTTCATATATGTCAAAACTTTCACAATTCCCAGTCCCAAAAGGGCAATTCTTGGTAGCTTTGTTATTTTTCCTGTCACATGTGCTGCTGAAAAGCTGAACTGCATGATGCGACTGCTACTGGGCTGTATCACTTCAATCTGAAGACCAAATGACTGTATACTATGGTGATCTCCCTCCCTCCCTCATGCACAGGATTTTCCCTTTTTCTTCTTTCTTGCTAAGCAGGCCCTATATCTATTTTCTTCTTAATTGTTTGTCTATAGCTGTCCCACCCAGTCTCTTTAAGATATGTATATATATGTATGATGCTGGTCCAGCTCAGGGAACTGAGGGAAGATTTATACCCTGCCCTTCTCCTGGAGTCTCAGAGTGGCTTACAATCTCCTTCCCTTCCTCTCCCCACAACAGATACCCTGTGAGGTAGGTGGGGCTAAGAGAGCTCTGAGAGAAAACCCAAGGTCACATAGCTGGCTGCATGTGGAGGGGTGGGGAATCAAACCTGGTTCTCCAGATTAGAGTCTGCCACTCTTAACCACTACATCAAACTGGCACAATCACCTTCTTATATTCAACTTCTGAAATGGCACATGAGAGGCTTTTGAAAGTCCAAATAAAACAAAATGTTTCATTTAACTTAGAGGAGAAAAGGTCAGGTGGAATCAGAGGTAGGATGTATGAGGTGAACTGATTATAAAACTGAGGTAACTCAGGTAACTTTGCAAACACATTAACTCCAGATAATTTGTTGTCTCTTCTTCAACTGTTAGTTCTCAACTGCCATTTCTTAACTGACTCTCTCCACAGAATTCCATTTGAACAGCCTGTCACTCAAAGGTTCTTAGACTCTGTTAGGCATTAACCCTCGACAGTCCATCACATATACACACAGAGCCACACACATATCTTCCTCCTTCCAAAATGGTTCAACATATGGCAAGTGCTGACATAATGCACTGTCGCTGTCAGGAAGACATACCTAGGATTGCCAACTCCTGGTTGGAAAATCCCTGGAGATTTGGGGGTGGAAGCTTAGGAGGGTAGGATTTAAGGAGGGAAGAGGCCTCAATGCATATGTGCCCCAGAGAGCACTGAGGTCAGGGTCGCAACATCGTTTGACCCTCCCTGGTCCAAAAGAAGCCAGGCTGAATATTACCAGGACCAGGGCTTTCTCAGTGGCAGCCCCATACTGGTGGAATGAGCTCCCGGAGAACATCAGGGCCCTGCGGGACCTCTTACAGTTCCGCAGGGCTTGTAAAACAAAGCTCTTCCACCAGGCTTTTGATTAGGAGCTGCCACTGATGAATGTGCCCTGGAACATCTGGCCTGAAATCTAGAACATCTTCTGGCCTGAGACCGCGCTGGATGCTACCCCTACCATTGAATGTGATTTAGGCTATCGCCATCATCTGTCAGTTTTATTTGTAAACTGTTGCTGTTTTAATTTGGTATTGTATTTTCCTGTGGCGGCTCCTACCTGGTGGAATGAGCTCCCGGAGGAGATCAGAGCCCTGCGGGACCTTATGCAGTTCCGCAGGGCCTGCAAGATGGAGCTCTTCCGCCAGGCCTATGAGTAGGAGCCGCCATGACCACTGCCACCACCACTTCTTTATTGGGGTAACATCTTCCATCATCCCAGTCTCCCCCCTGTGTGTAGGATGTCGGGAGTTTATTTATGCATCTGTTCGAATTGATTTTAACTTGTTTTAATCTTGTATTTATATTTGGACTTTGTACATTGAATGCACTTTGTGCCTATGTGAGCCACCCTGAGCCCGTTCGCGGGGAGGGCGGGGTATAAATGTCATAAAATAAATAAATAAATTTATTAATTGTTTTAACTCTGTATTGTTTATGTTATTTTAACTTTATTAGCCGCCTTGAGCCAGCATGTCTGGCAAGGCGGGATACAAATAGAAGCAATAAATAATAATATAAATAAATAAATAAATAATTTACTTTGCAGGGAAGATGTACTAGAGCAATTCTTAGACCTTCTAATTATACTTATTCTGGCATAGCAAAACACTGTATACATTGTGTTCAAGATTCAGAAAAAATACCAACCACTAAGTACAATCGAGTCCATATCAACAGCCAGGCCCTGAAGACTCCCAATTGATGTTCGATTGGTGATGCTTGTCTGAATCGAATTCTTTAAAATAGCAGCTATACAGTCTTCGCAAAATACGTGCCCTTTTGCCTGTGGCACCACAAACACAATCCAGAAATGCACAAGGAGGCCCCCCTGATTGTTATTACTGAAAGCAAATACAAAATAAAGTATATCATAGCATTTCTTTGACCAGAACATAGAAAAAATGTTATTTAAAAGCTTCCGAGTGGATCAAGCTTCATTGCTGGGCACAAAACTAATTTCTGTACAGGAATTTTGTCACATTTGATGTGGCCTGTATTTTCTATCAAAAGAAGCTCCTTGCACACAGTTGTCAAAGACTATTTACCAGAGATTGCTTCTCTCAAAGAAGCACAACCACCCAAAAAGAAATACAAAACATGTCTCACCTGACATCTGAGACAACAGACTGCTTATAAAATTTGGAGAAAGCAGAACGGGTATAAATGAGGTTCATCTGAAAAACAGAAGTCACAATGGTTTTGCAGATCTAGAAAATATATTATTGACGAGAAATCTTAAAGAGGATTGACTGAACTACATAGGTAACTATGTGCATAAGAGATTTAACTGCTCTGTTAATTTTTTTTAACAATCAATAAAATTTAATTTAGTCACTTAGTTTAGTAATTTTGCACAACATCTCCATAATGGGATGACCAAAGACAGTGTTTAGTGGAGCAATTCCCTTTGTTGGATGAGATTAATAATAGCATGATATTTTATGATATCCTATTCTCTCTACAAATGTCCAGGATGAGGACACTGGTGGAAGGGCCGGGTAAAGGTCAGGGTTTTCCTGAAAGTGCAGCTTCTCTTTTAGCTGTAGACTTCCTCTCACTTCTCTGAAAAGAGAAATGAAACCCTTTCAGCAGAAGTGGATTGGCCTTTAGTCTTATCAGAAAAGCAGGCAATTGCTCTTGTGTGCTGCTGGCAGCCAGGAGCAAACAAAGCAGAGCTCCAGGGGTGCTGGTAGTACCATAAGAGCCATTCAGCTCAGACCCAACCATAAGGGAGACTACAGGCAATTCTGTGTCTACTGTCTTTGTTGCCTCAGGCCTCCTCTGCTTATTGGCCTGAAGAAGATGCCAAGACACACAGCTCCAACTGCATTAAACAAGTAATAGACTAGAAGTGATTAACTTGCAGCAGCTAAGAACTGTCATCTAAAGTGGCTGACAGCTTGCAGCTTCGAGATCTATCCTGGTAGGAGTTTTCTATTGGTTAATGGCTTTTCTTTCTGCACTGAAAACTTCAGCCCCACCAGAAAAAAATTTGCTCCACAAGCCACAAAATCCTAGCTATGGGCCTGGGTAATAGTGCTGGCACTATGTATCACTCAGTGTCAAAAGGCAAGGGTTTGCTGAATCTATAATCATCTAATGGGTATCCATTTCATACATCTAGCAGAGATTTTTTCCTTACCACCCGCTGCACATTCTGTGCCACAGAAAGGAACTCCCTTGACTCCTTCTGCCGATACTCGTGGAGAAACTCAATATTGGCAATACGAAATAATCCAACAAAGTACAAAGCATCCTTGCTTTCAGCCTGAACTGTAAAGCACACAAGGAAAGTTACCTTGTTTTCTATTACATTATAGAAACAATAAGTAGACAACAATCTTAAGATAATAAAGTTATTCCCAGAAACTTGAGATGTTAAAGCCAGACACAACATTCTAAATTAAATCAACACCAGTTTTAAGCTGCTCACCTGCAATTTGAACCCACATTTGCTCCTTGTTTTACATACATACAAGTTTCATAGCTTTAATACTGGATCAGGTCTCACCCCCCTGACTCAGGGATATTAGTATGTTAACCCCCAGATTCACACATGCCTGAAAACCAGATGCATGACTATTCTAGGGAAAGAACCTAGGTAGCTGCGCTGGCCCACAGTAAGATAAAAAAGCAATTTAATGCCATTTATTAAGACCATCCCAAATGTGTAATTAACAAAAAAAAAAGTATTCCATGACCCAGGGAATGGAAAGAGGGGGAAGCATTAGTTGATGATGGCCCAGGCAATAGCCAACAGGTCCTCAGCGCCCCTTCCAACTCTGTAATTCTATGATATTTGATGAGGAGCAGAGTTAGAAAAATATTCTCAGGGTGGCTTCCAAAAACTGACAAGCAGTATACATTCACAATAAAAATACAAGACATCAGTTAAAACACAACCAGTCAATATAAAACATTCATTGGATGGCAATAAAACTAGAGTGCAATTTAAATATAGTTTAGTCTCTAAAGAAAAGAAGAAGAAAATTATATTTGGGGGGGGGGGAATCACAAAATCTGCCATCACTGTCAGGCTCTTCTATGGTGGGGAGAAGGCCCTTGCCCTTTGGTAAGAAGGATGGCCACCAATGGAAAGCAATTTTGGAGTTTTTATTTATTTATTTATTTATATTTGAATTTATATCCCGCCCTACCCCGAAGGCTCAGGGCGGCTAACAAGGCCACCATGCGCCGAGGTTAAAACAGTAAACACATAATTTAAAAACAATAAATTACAGTAAAATACAATAACAAATTCCCAACAGATTTAAACAAGATGGGGAAATCTTAACTTCCATAACTACTTCCCAAGATTTTATCATCCAAGCCGTGCCCAGGCATCTCGCTCCCCCCTGCAGCCTTGGGGGGATCAGTAAGACTCCTCCCAAATTATAATTATGGGTTCAGGGGAATGTTTTTCAAACTCTCCAGTATCCAACAGCTTTCTTGTTTTGTTTTTTCCAAACAGATTTTCTCCAGCACTTTCCTTCTAGACCCTTAGCCCAGAAGGAGATAAATTCCAATATGACAGCCATGTTAGTGCATTGTGGCAAAAACAAAAGAAGACTCTTGTGGCACATTTATCAAAGTACGGGGGGGGGTGTTTGTGAGCAAACCTATGAAAGATAATGTTACAATAAATGTGTTAATTTTTAATGTGCCACAGACTTTGCTTGGTTTTAACTCAGAAAGGTTAAGAGAGGTGTCCCAGCATTCATATCTTCTGGGACAGGGATAAAAATAATTTACACACATGTGTAAATTGAGATACACTCCCATTTTCCTAACGCATTGGCAAACAGCACTTCTATGGCTTTGAAAACAAAAGGTTGTTACGGAGACCCTTTAATATATATGTAGAAAGCCCCACAGGAAGCGTTGCCTAAACAAATATGCAAAAACTCACCAATAAAGAGCCACAGTAGTGTCCATGTTATAACTCCTATAATGAAGAGCACGACTGTAAACAGGATTATTATATTTTGAAAATTCCAAATAGACTTTCTTTTAGATTTCCTCTTTGCTTTCGTGAGTTTTCGGGCAAGCCTATCCCACTTTGCTTCTGTTTCTGCCATTTGAAGTGATACATTTGAAACCTAAATCAAAGGGCAAAAAGTACTACAAATTCACAGCATCTTTTAATTCATTCAGTGCAGTTACATTTCCACTGTACCATGCAGACTTTCAGTTGTGCATATACTATGTGCATGTAGGAGAGTAGGATTGCTCTTGTTGGCTCATTCCTCACCCTTCACACATTCAGTCAAATATCTGCATGGAGGTCTGGCTTACATACAAACAAGTTTTGTGTGTAAATTTGGGATGCCAGCCCTCACACTATAGGGGAGGCCTCCCAGCAATTCTCACTGATGCCTGGTGGTATCTTCGGCAGCACCATGAGGAATTGGGGAGGGGGTGATGCTCCAGTGTCATGCCACATCTTATATTCTAATAGAGAAGTCAACCTATCTTTGGATACTTAAATCCGGTGATTGGAGCTGTGAACAGGCAACACAGATCTTTCTACAAACCTGAAAAGGGTCCCTCTGGGAGGCAGAAAAAGAAAGAGTGAATGATAGGGTGTGGGGGCAGAAAGAAAGAGAAAGTAACAGGCATGGGGGAAAGAAAAAGAGTAAGAAAAAGGGGTGACAGGAGGGAGAAAAAGTGGGGAGAATGGGTTAGCCGGTCCGGCAAGTGTTTTGCAGGTTTCCAATTTTCTTTTATTCTAATAAAGAAGTCAGGAAATTTTGGGATACTTAAATCCAGGGGTCAATTCAATTCAATTCAAAACCTTTATTGGCATGGATCAGAATCATAAACAGTCACCCTTCAGTTCATGGATTTAACACACAGCTTCCTCATTATAAGGCAGTTACAGAACTTAGCCACCACTTCAATAACCACTGTATTTTGTGAAGCCAATAAACGGTACAACATTCTGTCATCTGATTGCTTGACATCTTTCTTAAGTATGGCTTCTAGATAGACTGCCCGAATGTCATCATACAAACTACAATGGAGGAATACATGTTCGATTGTTTCAATCTCCTCTGAATCACAATCACAAAACCTAACAGAGTAGGGGATTTTCTTAAATCTTCCTGCTAAAACCGCAGAGGGGAGCACATTAAAGCGGGCCAGCATAAATGCTCTACGCAGCTGTGGAGAAGTCAAATCCAATAAGTATTGTGCAGGGGTGTTGATCGGAAAACGTGCCCATCTTAAAGGGGAGCATCTACCAGAAGCCAAGGCTCTAAGCTCTTGCATCTCAATATCAATTAATCTCTGTTTGAGCAGGGCAAAGATGTGTGCTTCAGATAAGGACATCATATCATTCACGCATAACCCTATTGAGACGATTTTCCTTTCTATAGCAGCAAACCACTCAGAGCAATGAGACTCTTCCAACAGATATGTAATAAGGCTATTGGGACAGTTCCTAAAGTGCAAACGTAGCCAAAATCTGAAGGTAATTATCCAAGCCCTTGTTTCCAAGCGTATCATATTGACTTCCAAACAAATAGCGGCGTAGGAAACACACAGGGGCAACCCTAATATTTTCCTCACAAAATTGGATTGGAGTTGTTCTACCATTTTGTTAAAAGCTGTGATCCAAATGGGCACCCCATAAAGAAGCTTCGCTCCAATTTTGTGCTGAAACACTTTTAGGGCCGCAGGAACATACTGGTTACCCTTGGTAAAAAAGAAACGGGTTATTGCTAGCACACAGCTGTTCGCAGATTTAATTACTTCTGATCTGTGGGCTACCCACCTTGCACTATGATGAAAGTTAATTCCCAAATATTTAAAACACTTCACCTGTTCAATGGTGTTACCCTTAACACGCCAGTTGATGGGTTTCCAGGAATCTCCGAACACCATTATTTTAGTTTTGTCAAAATTCACAGATAATCCGTTAGGGGCTTGATGGGGGTGGTGGGAGAGCCTCCCTCCCTCCCTCCATCTCTTTGCCATCTTTCCCTCCATCTCTTTGCCATCTTTCCCTCCTTTCTTTTTCTTTCTCTCCTTTTCTTTCTCACTTTCCCTTCCCTTCCCTTCCTTCCTCTCTTTTCCTCCTTTCCTTCTCTCCTTTCCCTGTTTCTCTCCTTCTTCCCTTCTCTCTTTCTTTCTTTCCCACCTTATTCTCTTCTCTTTTTCCCCCTTTCCCTGTTTCCCTCATTCTTCCCTTCTCTCTCTTTCTTTCCCTCCTTCTTTCCTTCTGTTTCTTTCCCTCTTTCCTTCCTTCTTTCCTTCTCTCTACTCTCTTTCTTTCCTTCCTTCTTTCCTCCTCCTGTGGCCCAACTCTAGTGAGAAGGGGTTTAAAGTTTAAACCCCTTCTCTCTTCGCTCCCCCCCCCAGCTGGTGAAGGGGAGGGGAGGCTTTTGAAGATGCCTCCCCCCTTTTGCTTCCCCTTCTGACATCACTTCCCGTGATGTCAGGGGGCATGGCATATGCTAATAGCCCATATGCTAATAGCCCAGTATCTATGAAAAGACCCCTGCTTAAATCCAGTGACCGGCGCTGTGAACATGCAAGACAAATCTTTCCACAAACCTGAAAAGGGCCCCACATTTGCAGAAAAATATGAAATCTAAAAAAAGAATACACTAGGCAGCTTTAAAAAATTGAAAAGAAGAAAAGTAGCGCATGTAGCTTTAAGAAACAGATCTCCTAAGCAATGCTCCATCTAAGCTGTGAAGTCTTATGAGCAAAAATTCTGCTTTGTGAGTTACTGGCATTAAAACTGTGACTGAGTAATTTGGCTACTGCATAAATTAGTTTGCTCTGGAGCCATCCTTCCTGCGCTAAGACAAAAATGTGTGCGCCGGAGGCTAAAAAAACTGTGAGTTAGCTCACACTAACTCAGCTTAGAGGGAACACTGCCCCTAAGTGGCTGTTGCTAGGTAACAACAGAATTCCAGATTGGGTTTCAGTGAGTACAAGGCAGGGGGAGGGGACAGGGCCCTTTCCAGCCCTATTTTGGCCTTTGAGAGAGGACTTGTTGGGGCCAGGTTTGGCTAGGGTTGCCAACTCCAGGTTGGAAAATTTCTTAGATTTTGTGATGGACCCTGAGGGGGGGCAAGGTTTGGGGAGGGGAGAAGCATCAGCTGAATATAATGCCATAGAGTCCACCCTCCAAAACAATCATTTTCTCCAGGGGGACAGATCTCTGTTGTCTGGAGTTCAGCTGTAATTCTGGGAGATCTCCAGGCCCCACCTGGAGGTTGGCAACTCTAGGCCTGGAAGCATCCTCTGCGTGACTTGGTACCACTCAACATACATGACTTAACTAGGCCTAGCTGCTCACTACTCTTCAACAGCAGCTATCCTATGGGAGCCGGTGTGGTGTAGTGGTTATCGCTTCAGAGTAGGATCAGGGAGACCCAGGTTCAACTCCCCAATCTCGCTGTGGAAGCTGACTGGGTGATTTCAGACCAGTCACATGCCATTAGGCTAATTTATCTCACAGCGTAGTTGTGCATATAAAAAGGAGGAGAAGAGAATAATGTATGCTGCTTTGTGCATTTTTAAAAATGGTCATACCTGATGTCGTTTAATTTTATATTTTTAAACAGTAATTTAAATATTCACTTACACATTAGTTGAGCATGTATGCAGATCCCATAACTAAAATTTATTTATGCAGTATTAAAAATTATAATTTTAAATGTTTTTAATTGCTCAGATGTGGCCACTGATGGGGTAGAAAGGTGGCATAAAATGTTTTAAATAAATAAAAATAAATAAAATAAAATAAACCTCTCATTGTTTCTTGTTATTTATGTATTTACCTTTTTACCAAAATAACTACTATGAATTATAGAAGGGAACAATTTTGTATTCTTGCCTCAGGTGCAAAATTAGCTCATTACCACTCTTGGTGGGGAGGGACCTCAGTAGGACCTCAGACACCATGGAGCCCACCCCTCCAAAGCAGCCATTTCTCCAAAGGAACAGATCTCTGTACTCTAGAGATCTCTGGGAGATTTCCAGGCCCCACCTGGAGGCTGGCAACCCTGAATAGTTCTTCAATTAATGTATGTTTTCATTGAGAAGTGTCAGACATAATTTACACTGTTTTGTGTAGTATGTTTATTATTTTAAAACAATATCCTTGGCGCTAGTAAGCACTGGTAAGGGCGGGGGCAATTGTCACTCAATCAGCGAATGCATTAGTACAAAATCAGAGAAGGGCTGAGCTGAAACTGACACGTGGAAGTTCTTTGCAACAGCAGCTTCCATTGCAGATGAGACAAGTGCAATTCCGTTTACGTAGTGGCTTGCCTGCTTGGAGAAATCCTGTGCTTGGAGAAATCCTGTGAGACACCTCCAACCACGACTCTCGCAGCACTTATTGCTGTTGGAGAAGTTAAGGCAGTGTTCTCTTGGACAGCTGTGCCAGGCATGCATGCAAGCTGTTGCTGAGCACACCACTATGGCAGATCTATGTGTACAAACATGATTTATGTATCTATTGTTTCCGCTGGATCAAAACATAGAACTTTCTGTTTCCCACTTGCCTAGTCTGTTATAGGGGAAATGTTTTTTTACAGGATCTGTTTCCTTGTGAGGAGAGAATTCTGGAATGTTACAGTATCAGGAATATCTTTTGTAACATGTCTATTAATAAATATACATGCAGAGTATAGGATAACACCTAAATAGTGGACATTTCCCCCAAGCAAACATGTTCTTAGTTCCCCCAAAGGCTTCTTTTTACCAGTCTGCTGCAAATTCAGATCTGTTTCCTTTGCTGGTTACACTTACCACTATTTTTCTCCAGCATTTCCTAAGTAGGTCAGATGTGTTTACTGTAGTCAGTAAGATCCACCAAGCCATCAAAAGTCATTAATGAACACTTATAAGACTTCTTTAGGCTATCAGTGCCAATTAAAGAATGCCCCTTTAGCTGTTTAACTGGACAAAACCCTAGAGGTCATTGCACATCTCCAACGAGGCAGTGTAGAACTGTATTTAATTGAGTTTTTAAATGTTTTTTAATGTATTTAATCTGTTTACATTTGGGTTCCTTCTTGTTAATCCTTCCTTCCTTAAAATGCTCTGTGGACTTTTGTGTCGAGAATATCAAACCTCTTCAATCTCTTTCTTTATGTTCCAGGAAACTACTTGTAAGGGTACCACTGGCAGAACAATCAATTTTCCACATGACCATCTTCTCTGGAGCAGCAAATTTAATGACTGTTACAATTTAGGTATCCCAAATTATTTCTAATCTCTTAGAACAATGTTTTCTTGTTTCTTATGCTTATTCTAATTACACATTGTAGAATTCATTTCAACTAATAAAGCAATTTAAGTATCACAGAACACTAAATTATTTAAACCCTTTTCTTCCTTTTTACCACATGTCAGGACTCCAGGATAGTGTAGTTACTATGCCAACTAGCTGCATGCAGCCTATATTTAGACACACTACTTTGAGTTTTTTTGTATGAGGGATCAAATTAGTTTAATAAAACATGCATTTTCACTCCTAACAAAGATCAGCTGCTATAAACCCTTGTGTATTACTGTGTTTTAGTAGTTGTATGTAATTAAATACACACTATTCACATGAAAACATACACAATATATTTTCATCTGGGAATCTAGTAAAATTTATTGCAGTATTCTAGTGGCAGTTACTTCTTAGAAACAGATTTCACTAAATAAATGCGTGATAAACTGAAACACATTAATGTAGAATCAAGCAGAATACTTCAATGCATGCTTATATTTGTTTACTTACACTTAATTCATCTTCAGGATTGGCTACTTTGTCACTGGTTTGTTCATCCATTGTACAAGAATTCATTTTTTTAAAAAAAGATCAAACAAAATCCACACCATACACTATAAAAGTCTCAAACAAAGGAACTACTACTAAAGACTCCTAAAGGACTATTAGGAGCTATTGCCCAGGAGGGACTGGTAACACTGCCCGATCATCGGTTCACCACATCGGGGATGGCATCAGTTTACACCAAGAATTTCCATTGGTAATTTCATCTGCCCAAGTACTTCTGCTGCTCTGAACATTTTTTAAAAATCCATTATCAAGTACCACAGGGGCAGCAAATTTGGATGTGGAAATTATTTTCTTAAATGATTGTTCTAATGGTTTCCATTTCAAAAAAACGTAATAGCAGCATTAAAAGCATTAGTGCCTCACAAACTGGTCCTAAGCTCTTTTACTTTGAAATACATGTCACCAATGCTCCCTCTAAGCTGTGGAGTCTTGTGAGCAAAAATTCTACTTTGTGAGCTACTGACATTCAAGTTGTGAGTAGTGAGTGATTTGGCTACTGCATAAATTAGTTTGCTCTGGAGCCATCCTTCCTGAGCTAAGGCAAAAATGTGTGAGCCAGAGGCTAAAAACCTAACTCAGCTTAGAGGGAATACTACATATCACTGAATCCTATGAGCCTTAGGGCCAAACCAGATATGCAGAAGGCAAAAATGCAGTTTGCACTGTCTTGATTTGGACATACTAATCCAGACTGCTCCTCTACAGTGTTATTAGAACTTTAAAGGGGAAAAGATGAGTCCCTCTTATTTACTTTTTTTTTTTTGCTCTTAAGTGATAAGGGAATGTTTTTTGTTAGTAAAATTGAATAGGAGTCAGGCTCATAGCTACAGTGGGGCATCTCAGGGCTAGGCCCCTCAACTTGCTGGCAAGGCCCCCTGACTTCCCATCCAACCCAGGGCATCACGGCCTTCTCCCCTGGATTAATTTGGTTAGCCAGTGCCCCCTAAGAAATTTAAATTCCCCCCCAACTTAAAAATCCTGGCTACGGGCCTGATAGGAGTGGATGGTTAAATCATTTCCCAGTGCTCCCCTGATCTGAATTAAAGCAACTTGCCTTCAATGAAGAACAGAGATCCATATTTTCTGTCATATCCATTTTGGGCCTTAGTCCCAAGAGATTGCAATTGTAACGTGGTAGAAACTAGGGGTGTGCAAAAAAAAAATAAACCAGTAATTTTTGAGTTTGGGTATATTGAACCCAAAAAATATTGGTATTTCCCAATATTTCCAAATGCCAATACCAGTATGGTGTTTGGATCCAGTAAATACTCGGGAAAGCCATTTTCCCCCTGCTCCATTATACCCTATGGGGACTATTATAGTCAATGGTCTCCATAGGCTATAATGGATAATTGATCCAGGGGTATCTGGGGCTCTGGGGGGGCTTTTTTAAAGATAGAGGCACCAAATTTGCAGTATACCTGCTACTGCCCGCCCACCCAGTGGTTCGAAAGCCAAGTAATGATCTATCGGCGAGTAGATAAATGGGTACCCACCCTTAGTAGGGTGGGGGGCACCCTCCTCCGTCTATGGAGGTGTGTGGAGAAGCAGCGTCACTGGCAGCAATGGCGGCGATAGCGACGGCGAGAACAGCGGCGGCAGCGGAGCAACGGCGGTGACGATTGGAGGAGGAGGCGCAATGCTGAGAGGTGGCAAGCGGCGGCGAGCAGAGCCTGACTGATCCCTGGTGGCCAGCAGTGAAAGAACAAGGCGGCTGCCGTTGACGGGCTGCAGGGTGTCGGTAGGGAATCCCCCCCCCCTTGTACCAATGTGTGGCCGTAGTTAGGGTCGATATAGGTGATTAGCACCCAAGAACTGTAAACCGCCCAGAGACCCCTACGGGGGTTAGGGCGGTATATCAAACCGAAGGATAAATAAAAATAAATAAATAAATTTTTAAAAATCCAAGTTTCAAAAAGATTAGACTAGAGGCCCAGTTCTATGGGCTCCAGAAGAAGGTGCCCCAATCCTCCATTGTTTCCAATGGAGGGGGAAAGACATTTAAAGAGATTGTGGTCCCTTTAAATTCCATCTCCAAGCCACAACTCTGTGGTGAATGAACTCCAAAGGCATTTAAAGGGCTCACAGTCCCTTTAAATGCCTTCTCCAAGCTGAGAGTTCACTCTGAAGGCGTTTAACGGGACTGAGAGGCCTTTCAATGCTCTTTAATTGCAGCTATTTGGTGGTCCTTAAAAATCCTGAAAATATTTGGGATTTTTTGGGAGTCCGTTTTTGGATAGCCGAATCAGTAGCCCACTTGGTAATCAGCTGAGGAAATACCTGAAAAATACTAATAAGGTATTTTTCAGGTATTTTTTTAGCTCGGTTCATATCGAGCACACTCCTGTAGTAGAAACAGATGCTTCAGTTCAAAGAATTAGTGTCAAACTATATACAAGTTGCAAAAAAGAAAAAATATGATTAGGATCCTCCTTGTTAGTTTGGAGGCTAATTAGTAGCTTTAGGCAATTCCTTTGAAGATCAGGGAAGGATTTAAATAACTCCTTTGAAGTTGTGTTTAACTATGCCTGAGAAAAAGGCAGGTATTGTCAGCTTGTTGTAGGTATGTAGGTATGTAGGGCTATCTTTTGGCTATGCTCCTGCAGAGTGCAGGGGGTTGGACTAGATGACCTGCAAGGTGCCTTCCAACTCTAACATTCTATAATTCTATGAAGGCTGGTGTAAAGGGGGGAAACTGTTTGGAATGCGTTAGTTTCAATTCTCCCTTGCTGTCTTGGTGATGCTACGTTATCTGTATGTTTTATGTGTCTGACCTTGGTTCCTAGTTGTAACATCATCTCTGGGAACGTGGGGCCGTTACATTCTGGCAGGCCCTGGTTTTACCTTGATTGGCTCCCTACCACCCAGTGACCCTTTTGAACCATGTATATCCGTCCACCCCGCACTTTTTGCTTTAGTCTTAACACAGAACCTGAAATGTAGATGCCCTGCCAATACTGTACCAATAAACGTTGAAGAATCAAGTCGTTGGTTCTGATTGTTGCAGAAGTCTGACAGGTATAAGCATTTGAACTATTCTCACCAACAGAGCTAAGATTCAGAGGGGCTATTTAAACTGTGGAAGAGCAAAAGGTAACACCTCTCCTCCCCCCCAGTCACCTATTCTTGATTTGAAAGCAGTCACCTGGACTACTAATTTGCTTTTTAAAGAAAGTAAAGGATTCCAATTGCAAGTTTTACCACTTGAGTTGTTTGTCCCAAGTGCATGATCCAGTGCACACATGCACATGGATTCTAGGGCATTGGGCTCTGCATACATTACTACATGGAATGTCATCAGGTATTAGCTATGGTGGTGGACACTAAATCTGCAGCAGAATTCTATACTCCATGTATGTCACATTTGTGTGCTGAAGTCAAGTTCTGTGCACATATTAATCATATATATTTCTTCTTGACATCTGTAGGCTTTGCTTCAACCTAGTGGTTTAGTTCTTGTTTCCTTTAAATTAAACTGAGTATCCAATATCATACAGTGATTTCCAGGCATTCCTATATAGGCTTAATAATAATTTGCTCTGCCTGGCAACTCTAGTGAGAAGGGCCTAGAGGGTCTAAGAAATAATTGTTAGTATTTATTTACCTCATTTATACCTCTCCTTTCTCCCCAATGGGGATCCAAAGAGGCTTATATTGCTCTCCCTTTCTACATTTTTATCCTCACAACAATCTTGTAAGGTAGGTTAGGTTGAGTGTGCATGTGGCCCAAGGGATTCAAACCTGTGTCTCCCAGATCCTAGTCTGATACTCTAACCACGATCCCACACTGGGTCTCTCACCAAACTATAATCCCCAGGATTCTTTGGAGGAATTAAATTGATTTGCATTTATAGTGTAAATAAGCTGTAAGAAACCCATTTATTATAAATAAAAAGAAAGGAATTTTCTGTAACATATTAGATAGTCTCCCACTGACTAAGAAAAACTAGAAATGCTTAAAAGACATGTCAAGTACCATCATAAAATAAATGCTACAGAAAATGTTGTAATAGATGAGAAAGTTAAGCCATCTTGTCCTGTTTGCCACATGCAAAACCTTTAATTGACAAATCTAATAAGTTACACTAGTGGATCAGTTCACACTGTCCATATAAAGTAGGCTTTCTACAATATGGGAATGAAGCCAAATCATGTGTACATGTCCCACATATAGACTTCCACATGTGACAAGGGTTGCACATATTTATGACATCTGTATGTGAAGGCACCTTATACACACAATTCACTTGTCACACAAGGGTGGAACTGATAATGGTATGAATAGATAGTACAAACCATGTCACATGTGACATTATTTGAATAATGGGAGACATGTAGGAGCCACAGACTCATTTTTGTGCCTTCTGCCATTCTATACTACATACGTTCCATGAGACAGTGTGAGCCAGCCCATTCTCTGTGAAACAATGCAAACTAGTAGAACTGAGCAAAAATGAGGACATCTCTGATTGATAGGAAAGCAAGCCGAAAACAATAAGGGACAGAATAACTTGCTTTTTTCAGTATTCTCCAAGAGCACTTTCCATTAAAAGAACTATTGGGAAATATTGGCTTATTGTAAAGGAGATTCCTGGGTGTCAAAGAGAACCAAAAATTTGCATGATTTTTAAATAAAATCTGATATGTTGAATGACAATCAGGCTAGTGAGGCTCCAGCCGGGCACCATAAGTGTGGAACCTGCACAGCTTGTGGAATGGTACTAGGGATTAAAGAATTTAGACATCCAGACACTGGTTTTAAAGTATAGCTGACAGATTTCACCAACTACAACATGAGGAGAACCGTTTATGGGGTTCTCTGCCCATGTCCAAAGTTATATGTTGGAAGTACGATTAGACCCATTAAGGCTAGGATCCTGGAACATTGCTCATGCATCAGGAACAAAATTATGGAGGCTCCCCTTACTGAACATTTTGTCTCACACCTACATGATGCTGACTCACTACGATTTTTTTTGTTATTTGCAAAT